ATGGGGGGGGGGGGAGAAGCTGTGTACATGTTTGTGTACTATGGGGGGGGGGAAGCTGTGTACGTGTATATGTCTTACTATGGGGGGGGGGAAGCTGTGTACAGTGTATATGCTACTATGGGGGGGGGAGAAGCTGTGTACATGTGTATGTGGTACTATGGGGGGGGGGGAAGCTGTGTACATGGTACTATGGGGGGGGGGGGAAAGCTGTGTGTATATGGTACTATGGGGGGGGGAGGAAGCTAGTGTACTGTGTATATGGCACTATGGGGGGGGGGGGGGGAAGGCTGTGTACGTGTATGGTACCGGTACTATGGGGGGGGGGAAGCTGTGTACGTGTGTATATGGTACTGTGGGGGGGGAGAAGCAATGTTTGGTGTGTATGGTACTATGGGGGGAGGGGGCTGACTGAAAGAAATGTATAAAACTAATCCTTAGATTTACCCACCACTAAGCTGTGTGTGGGGGAGGGGGGGGGCTCCTGATTAGATTTACATAACCTCACACTACTGATTGTACAATCTCCTGTAGCTCATCCGACAATCAGATTGTAATGTGTGGCCAGCTTTATGCACACCACAGACTGGAACAATTGCGACAGAAATGTTTTGTTTCAAGAACGTTCTTTTGACTTTCTAATTATTTAGAGGGTCAAATTGACATTCCCCCCTTCAGATGCCTTTGTAAGGAGATGATTGATGTTATTCCCTTTACTGGTCAGCGGTCATAATGCCATGGCTGGTCAGTGTACATTTATCAGGCATTTGCAGGCTGTCCAGTGACAGAATGATTTGGCTGTGAAGTGTCCATACACAGTTTTTGTGCACTGCAGACACAACTCATGTTGAGGAGGTGGCCTGGGATCCTTGGTGCCCCATTGGCATCAGGGCCTTTTTGTCTGTGGTCATGTTTGCTCAGTGTTCTCTTTTAACTTGCTAATTATTTGTGTCTCCTGTGTAGGTATGCTTTCCACAAAAGCTATACACAACTGCATTGTTGCCGTATTCACCTAATTTGAAATGTTTTAGAAGTGCAAAAAAGGAGAGTATTTTGGTTGATGTAATTAGCTTTACGGGTGTAATGTGCACAGAAACTCAAATCTAGATTGGGTTTATGTGTAATAGGTAGGCTACAAAGACAACAAAAAAAACATTGATGGAAATTAGACTTGAATAGAAATCCACAGTACACAGTCAGGTTAGTTGATGCTAATCTACAGGCGTTCCATGACTTGGTACTGAACCATTGGGATCAGCCAGGAATTTAAGCTGACTATTTTCAAATGAACATTCGTACAAAAAATTCTGTGTACATTCAATGACTGGATGCATGTCGTTCTAAATTACTAAAAAAAAAAATAGTTTTCTTTTAACAGTTGATTTTGAAATGAATGGACTTTCCGGAATGAAAACCGCACACACTGTTAGAAATTTGGTTTGTTTTAGAAACATTTTTCATCTTGCTCCTTATTTTCTCATCACTGAGGTTACAAACAAACAAACACCCCACTGGTGGTTAGAGAAGCAAACAAATGCTCCTGAAATGAAAATGTTCAATCAGAATTTTGCTAGTGTATGGCCAGCTTTAGTATTTCTCAGAAGAAGAGGCGAGCAATGGCAGCATCCATACTTCCTCACTTCCACATTCTCTACAGGTGTCAGTAGACATGGGCCTGCTACACAAGCACAGTGGGGTGGATTTACTAAAACTGGGGCACTCAGAGTCTGGTGCAACTGTGCTTGGTAGCCAATCAGCTTCTAACTTCAGCTTGTTTTGTCAAAACCCGGAAGCTGATTGGTTTCTATGCAGAATTGCACCATATTTTGCACTCTCCAGTTTTAGTAAATAACCCCCAGTATTTCTGTAGTGTGACATCTCTGTGGGACTTCCATTGGACAAATTCTCATTGTTTATTTCTTTTGAAGTGAGAGCAACACAGATGGATGCTGCCAGTGCAGCTTATCTCAGGGAGGACAAGTTTCCCCTAAGAGCACTCGGATAATGTCCACTAATATACTGCCATAGCCATAAGTCCTCATGCACACTGGATGTTTTCACAGCGGCTGTTTTTGACTGTTGACGTTTTTTTTCCTACAGCTAGTAAACCCCCCCCAGCATGTTATCCTATGTGTCCATACACACATAGACTGTAATCAATGTTTTTTTGTCTGGAAAAAAAACCCAGGACTAGTCGGTTTCTAGAGGAGTTTTTAGCTGTAAAAAACACTCTAATGCTGAAAAAAAACACAATAAAATGCAGTAAAACACTGCAAACCGGCGTTTTTGGATTTTTTTTTTTTTACCCACAAAAAAGCTAAAAAAAACACAAATGTGGAAAAACGCTGCTAAACAGCTAACGTTACCAGCGTTCTCAAAACATCCAGTGTGCATGGAGCCTTACAGTTTAGTCAGAGATGGTAAAAAATGTCTGAGACCAGTGTGTGTGTTGTGGTTGTGTTTTTTTTTTTTTTTGTTTGTTTTCATTTTATATAGAGTAGGAGAGGTTTAAAACCATTATTATTTTTTAGCCATCTTTTTCTCATTTGGGAGATTTCCTTTCACTTTCTGTGATTCACCAGGAATTGAGATGATATCTTTTGAATGTGAGAAAAAAATCCTCTCCTAGACAGCTATTACAGGGACTAGCATCCCTATTGGAAGATTTTTTCTTTTTTCCTGTTCTGGTGGCAACTCAAAATTTTTGTATTTTCTTTCACTTTCATTCTGATAACATTAATGATCAGAACAATTATGCAGGCCATAGACTGTTCGTTTATCAGCTGATTTTTCATCCGAAAAATGAAACATCGTTCATTCTGTAAACCGATGTTGCCACCAATGATTGCAAAAATCGGCCATTTTTCACGAATTTTCCAGCAGGACCGATAAATGAAATGAGGAGGAACCACGAAAATCGGCCAATGCCATTGCCCCACTAACAGACGAAAAATCGTCCGATAAACAAACTGTCTATGGCCGGCATTAGTGTGAATCCTCTTAATGAGAGAGTCAGGAATAAAAGCTTGACAGAGATTCTATCCTCTCGTTCTGTTCAAACGTAAAAAAAAAATTATGACTTTAGGCCATATGTACACTGTATTTTCTATAACACCTTTTTTCCTACAGGCGTTTAGGAGCAGAAAAAAACATGGTAAAAAAATGTTTTTGTATGCTCAGAATGTTTACTTATTCTGGCCATTAGAATGTATTAACACATTATTGTGCACTTTTGAGTTCTTTGGGGGGTTTTTTTAATGTTCAAAAGCTTCTTTTAAACACAGCTTTGGTATGTTTGTATTTTTTTTCTGCCTCTAAACTCCTGTAAACACCCATGAGTGTATGGATACATAGGTTAACATGGAGGGGCGTTTAGAGGGAGAAATAAAAGGAAAAGAAAAAAACCACAAATGCCTGAAAATCAGATGATTTTGAGCTGCAGTGTGCATGAGCACTTCCGTGTTATTTAATTTTGTGAAAAAGAATACCTTTGGCCTTTTGATACCCTCTTGTACACCATGTAGTGACTTCATTATCAGTCCCTGTTCTGCCACAGAAGCAGTAAAGATACAAAGTACATCTGCTTCTGCCTCCTCGTCACTTGATTACACTGCCTATATGTAACATGGCAGCTTTGCTTAATGGTCTGATTGAAAAATGCTTGTTTGTATGAGCATTCTAAAACGGTTTTCATACATCTGGCTCACGCTTGGGTGAAAGAATTGATAGGCCACCTTAGCTTTTCCAAGCTAATTGCTATTGTTTTTATCATAGATAAGGCAATGGCAGGGATGTCTGAAGATGGCCAAAGACCGATCGAAACTTGGCTGGTTCAGCAGGAAGTGGCCGGATTTCGATCAATGCATGGCTGACCCTGTTCGACAGAAATTGATCGCTAGATCGACTTATATCGAACTGACAAACTACAAAGCTTTTGCCAATCAGTGGCTGCAGCGGCTGATTGTTGTATTTCAATAATTTTAGGTCCACTGTCAGAATACAGTGTTCCAGTGGAGGGATTCCTCCATCCACCTCATTTGTGTGGATCAAGGAATCTGTTCCTTTTTTTTTCTTTTTTCTCCATTCAGCCTGCTGGCTGAACAAAAAGAAAGCTATTCCTCTCTGGCAAGCTTAACAGCGCTCTTCCATAGATGTGAACATATATTTACATGCAGTCTGATGTTTCTGGAAAGTTCCTTCGTACAGAAATCAAAGTACGCCTATCATAGCTTGTTCAGTTTCTTTAGAATTCTAATACTGCAGTGCCCTAGCAGTGGCACAAACCTGTAGATTGTAAGATGTGCTGTTAGGTTAATTGTCTGCTGTCTTAAGCCTAGTACACATGGGCTGATATTTGGGCGACATTAGACAGTTCAATAGAAAACCGGTCGACATTCGGCTCGTGTGAAGCTGGTCATTTGGCCGGCTTCTGTCGAAAGGGCATGACCAAAAAAGGTCTGCTGATCGTCGGCTCCCAATCAGACCTCTCAGCCAGTGGCTGAGATCACTGACAGGAGTGTTCTTGCGGAGGAAACAGTCTCCCTGTCAGAACACAGCAGGAGAAATCGCTGTACTAACATCGAATAGTTAGTACAGCGACTCCTCTTGATCTTTTCAGTTTGTTTTTTTTTTTGTTTTGTTTTTTCATTCAGCCTGCAGGGTTGAATGAAAAATAAATAGTAGGATATACCAGGTTTAAGTTGACCCTGGTACAGGTGTATATGAGATGGGGACCTTAGATTGTAAGCCTCTTGAAGGCAAGGACATGTGAATGTGCAGTTTGTAAATCATTGTGTAAATTGATAGGACTATAAAGATACCTGTAATAGTCCATATATTTTATAACTACCTCACCAGTAACAGTATCTATTTTTTCTAAGCACATATTCTTTTTAAAGATTTTTGGCTGTAATCACACTTGTCACTAGGGTACCAAATACTCCTGGCACACAGGGTTAAATTGATTGCCGATTTTGTCTGTTTTGCAGCATCCCTGATTTCCCATGGCGACCTATCTGGAATTTATTCAGCAGAATGAAGAGCGGGATGGAGTACGTTTCAGCTGGAATGTATGGCCCTCCAGTCGGCTGGAAGCTACAAGGATGGTTGTACCTTTAGGATGCCTCTTTACCCCACTTAAAGAGCGTCCAGACCTGCCCCCTGTCCAGTATGAACCGGTTCTCTGCACAAGACCTACTTGCAAGGCAGTTCTCAATCCACTTTGGTAAGAAAACTCCCTTTAAATAGTAAGATGAATGTTAGGAAGAACTGCACTCTGAAATGCTTTCTAGCAGGGAAAATGTACTATTAAAACATTTAATGTTTTTGTGTTCTCACGTGTCACATTCTTTAGAAAAACATAAATGCTTATGAGGTCTTCATGCATGAGGTTATTTAGAAGCTTGTAATACTATGAAATCTGATATTTATCAATATTTAATTTTGCATATTTTTGCAAGTGTTAAACTTAGTAAGATTGTGAGTGGCCACAACTAAATTTTGACTGCCGACCTCTGCATAATAGAAAGGTCATCCTAGATTCATGCCAAAACCTCTATTGGCTGCTGTAAAGCCGTGCTGCTTTTTGGGATTGTGGCAGGGCTCTGTAAGAGCTCCTAAATAACTATTGTGAATTAAGGATTTCAGAAAAAGTACACTTAAGGATGTGTTTATAAAAATTTGCAGAGCTATTCATACTTTGAAACTGTGCATTCATTGTTTTTGAATGAAGGCAAAATGTAATTTTAATTTGTAGGCGTTTTTTTCTCTTAAAGTCAAAAGTTATTCATTCATACAGATGAATCAGGAACATACCACATTATGGTATATTCGTGGCTAAATGGTTAGCACTTCTGCCTGGCAGTACTAGGGTCATTGGTTTGAATCCAAACCACGGCACCACCTGCATGGAGTTTGCATGTTCTCCCTGTGCCTGCGTGGGTTTCATCCAGGGACTCCGGTTTCCTCCCACACTCCAAAGACATGCTGGTAGGTTAATTGGATCCTGTCTAAATTGGGCCTAGTATGTGTATGTAGGAATGTAAGTTGGAGACCTTAGATATGTATGGCCCTTGATGGTTAGGGACTGATGTGAATGTACAGTGTGTGTGTGTGTGTGTGTGTGTGTGTGTGTGTGTGTGTGTGTGTGTGTGTATATGTGTGTGTATATATATATATATATATATATATATATGTGTATGTACCTGAAATATATAAATAATCCCCACAGAACAAATGTACGTGCAATTCTGCAAAAAAATGCTTTGCAAATTTTTTATTTTTTTAACTACATCTCTTAGTAATAGGGGGGCTTGTTGGGTAGGTCCCAGAAACTATAAACAAATTAAAGTATTTGTAGGCAATAAGCTTATTGTTGAAAAGTAGCCGGTATTATGCTTCATTACTTTAGATATCCAAAAGAGATCAGTTTGATGTAGATTCTTGTTTTATTTTTTTTTTTTTTTTTTTGTGGCACTCAAAATATTAACAAACAACAAAATGAGTTTAAATATTAGTGGTTGGAATTATAGAAATATTAAAGTAACAGGAAAGTAATAGTTTAAGCGGAACTATACTCTCCTCTGCTCCAGGGATGCGGCATTCTACTTCTGCCCACCCGGCCACTGACGTCTTTGGGTGGACGGCTTCCAGGTCTCAATTGCTGGCTGCTGTCATTAGCCAGGTGGGGATGATGTCACTACCGCACATGAGTTTTGTCAAATTTGGCATTGCAGAATTTTTACAGTGAGCTGAGCATTTGCTTATTAAAGTGAACATCGCTTTTAAGCTGCCTGATTTTCTTTGGAAATTTTGAACAGAGAGATGCAGACTGAAGGCTGCTATGGACTAGGTAAATGAGGGATAAGCACAGTGGGATGGCTTGGGCAGAAAAGACATTAGAAAAGTCATATGTATATGAAAAATTAAATTCTGCCTAAACAGATGACCTTCGGTTTTAAGGTAAACAACTTGAACTTGCTGTTTGAAGACAGACTGGTAGCATCAGGAGCTATTGGCTCCTGCTGCTGTCAATCAATTCTAGTGGGGGGGTGTGGTTGAGCTGCGCTGTGTGTGTCTCTGAACACAAGTAGCCCGGAGGCATATTTGGGGGAGGAGGAGTGGAGAGAGCAGGCTGCGAACCCCAGAAGAGGAGGTAAAGGGCTGCTCTGTGTATTATCCTTGCACAGAGCAGATAAGCATAAACATCTTTTTAATTTTTGGTACAAAATATGAGGCTTTAAGGTCTGCCCAATAGACTAAACCTTCTCAATGACAGGGTTTCTGTTTTATTTTTTTAGTCAAGTTGACTACAGAGCCAAGCTGTGGGCTTGTAACTTCTGCTTCCAGAGAAATCAGGTAAGTGCTATATATTGCTTACTATTTCTATTCTGCATTCTAAGGAGACTTGGTGATTGTGTGTACAGTAGTTGCAGAGTTTTTTTTTTTTTTGTTAAACTTTCCCTAAATAGTTAAAAATTAAAAAAAATTTGAGTAATGCATTTTTTGGGGTACCAACACAATAGCAAGCATTAAAGTATAACTAAAGGCAAAACTTATTTTTTTTAGATTTGGATAGAGTGGAGAGGGATTAGAACACCTGTCAGATTTTTATTGCTGTCCGTGTCCCCATTAGGGAGATTTACCCCTCTATATGTCCTGTTTACCGTTATCATTAAACGTAAAAGAAAATACCAAATTTTGGGTTTACTCTAAAACGGTTATAGAAGGGAACTCTTTCAATGAGGTCACTAGTTCTGGTGACCCTGTGACAACCAGGAATTCCCTTACTTTGGAGGGATTTCCTCTCACTTCCTGTTTTTGCTTGTGGGACAGGAAGTGAAGAGAAATCTCCTCAATGGGACACAGAGGGTAACCCCCCCAAAAAAAGAAAAAATCTGACAGGTTAACCCTCCTTTACTCTATCAAAAATGAAAACAAAGTTTTGCTTTCATTTCTACTTTAATTGTACCGGTTAGAGGGGGTTGTACACATACCACAGCCAGGTCGTGTTTACCATTATCATCGAAAAATTTAGTAAAAGAAACCCAAAATTTTGGGTTGTCCCCAGAAAAGTAATAAAGGAGAAATTCTACAATGGGGTCACTAGTTCTGGAGACCTGGGGGTTCCCAAAGAATCCCCTTAATTTTGCAGAGATTGCCTCTCGCTTCCTGTTTTTGGCTATGGGACATGAAGTGAAAGTAAATATCCCTAATGGGGACACAGATGGCAAACAAAAATGTTTGCCTATTCTACTTTAATTGGACGCTGACATTTAGACCATAAAACAAAAAAGGTGGAGCACATCCCATTTACCTGATATTTAAAGTGAGTCTGTCTCCCTAGTTGTATCCCCAGCAAGTACTAAAGGTGTTGGGGTTCATATGGCTGAGGATAGACGGAACCCTGTACTATGTAGTCAGAATTCCTAAAGAGTATGTTACCCCAACATTTCATATCCCTGATAGGTGTCTGTTGTTCCATGTACTTGTGTTTAAAAAGTATCCTATTTTTTTTTTTTTTTTCTATTTTTTTTCCTTTTGTATGACATTCCTGATGAACTTGTCAGTCCTTCTTCTCTCCTATTTTAAAGTGACTACGCTAGTCATAGAAGCAGATCCTTTCCAGCATGGTCAGTTTTCTGGCTGTTCTTATGAAGCTGAGAACAAAGGTTATGTGATCAGTTATAAAAGAAGAAAAAGGAGTAGCATATGCTTGTGTGTGTGTGTGTATGTGTGTGTGTGTGTGTGTATGTATATATGTATATATGTGTATGTATGTATGTATGTGTGTGTATGTATGTATATATATATATATATATATATATATATATATATATATTTATATATATATATATATATATTTATATTTATTTATTTTAACTATGCACACACAGATGAGAACTAGAAAAGGTCACTGGAGCGATAAGTTGCATTTTCAAACCACTGTGGCAACATTACATGTTGGGTGCATAGAGACAAACGGCTTTAACACTAAGGGTTTCGGGATAGCTTTTCAAGTGCATTCATATTGGAACATTCCCAGGGACATCTTCGTGGTCCCTTTAGTAGCCAGTTCTGTTTTGTTCTTTACTCTTCTAAACAAGGCTAGAATGAAAGCTGAGTGAACATGTGAGGATAGAGCTCTGGAAACCATTACTGACTTGTCTTGGCTCCAACTATTAATCTCATCCTCACTTCACTGCCTAGTAAGTCAGTCAGTTGGAAAAAGCACGCAGTCAGTTAACTCTGAAAAGTCTGAACCCTAGTTGTGTATGGATGTTTTGGACAATGACTCTTCATCATTAGTGCCATTGATGAGTATGACAACCTAAAATCTGAATTTTGTTTACTACGGATCATCTGTAGTCACTTCCCTGTCATTATTCACAAATTCATTCTAACCCCTTCGTGACCAGTGCTGAAAGCCTGGATGCCCAGACCAAATTTATCAGTGGAAGGGTGCATCAGTTAACTTGACAAACACTCTAATTTGCCAACCTAAATAAATAAATTTGACATTATTTTAAAGGAAATTTGGGTCTTTGTCGACAATTGAAACAATTTTGTTTAAAAAAATATCCTCAACATCTTGTTTTGTATTCTCTTTTCAGTTTCCTCCCACATATGCTGGAATATCAGAAGTGAATCAGCCCGCGGAACTTATGGCTCAGTTCTCCACCATCGAGTACATTGTTCAGGTATATTCCTGCCCAGGCAAAATTTAACATTTTTTTTTTTTTTTGTGGAATGCTTCTGCTGATCTTTTCTTGCATATGCTAATAGGCTGGCTGTCTTAATAATTCAGTGTCTTCAAAGCTTTCAGTCATTTGCACTTCGCTTGCTGCATATTTGTTTAAGGTCAGAGACTTTGAAAGCATTGAAGATATAGGATAAGCGGTAACCATTTAGAAAACTTGCATTGTCAGTAGGAGTTCAGCAGTGGCAGCCCACATAGTTCTCTTATGACTAGTTTCTGTTTAGGCTCCTTTCACACTAGTGTGATTTCAGATGCAATTTATGCAATTTGAGTTGCACAGAATTTCATGACTATGGAAATCACATTATTTTCAATGGTGCAATCACATCATTACAAATCAGCATGGAGCAATAGTTGGAAAAGGTTCCTGTACTACTTTGGTGCAATTCCAGTGCGATTTGTTTCTCCCCCCCCCCCCCCCCCCTAGAATATACAAACCTTATCCAATATACACCAATGCTGCACTACATAATCGTGCTGAAGTCAGATCAAAATCAGATGGCAGCAGTGTGAACCTAGCCTTATAAATGATTTAAGTTGTTAAAGTGCAATTCTAAACAAAACCTTTTTAATGTTAGTTTTGGATAGAATGCTGTCCCTGTTCTAGGGATTCCCCTGTTCTTCCTGTCTCAGAGGCAGTTGTCCCTGGGATAGGAAGTGAGTATTGAAATCGGTTTCCCTGCAAAGACTGTAGTAGGATTTAATACCTTATAAAGGCTCTGTTACAACTTTAAGGTTGGTGATATTTTATGTTTATTCTTTCTTTTCTCGGGCTTTCTACTAAATTTGTACGGTATATATTAAAGGATAGGTTCACCTCTTAACAAAAAATAATAAATGCACATTTTTTGCAGGTAAAAAAATGTGCATTTATTATTTTTTGTTTGTGGGGCCTCTAAAGCATTGTACCAGCGATTAGATCACTGGTGCCATTTGGGTCTTCCCTTGACCTGTCAGTATATCTGGTTGTCCTACATCTCATATGGGCAACCAGATACTTACTGTCAGGAAGGCTCAATGAACTACTACGGCAGAAATGAGTGACGCAGCCGGGCTGGTGGAGCAGTTTTGTTTTTTAATTAGTGAGAGTTTGCACAAAGAAGATCCCCCGCTAGCTGTCACAACAGGGATGGGGGGGGGATGCTGGGGCTGGTCCAATCGTAACATGTTACATATTACACCCTGAATATGAATGTAACATGTTATGAAAGGTGAACATATCTTTTAAACATAAAAATGAGACGCTAGCCGTAATGCTCTGTTTACACATATGGCTGTCACTGCTGTGCCTGTGAAAAGTAATCTGCAGTGAGATTGCTTCTTAGAGGTGTTTGACATGTGTAAGGAGGCGATGTATTGCCTCATTGTCACTTTTTTTTTTTTTTTTTTTGCCCTATAAATGCTTCACCACTGTGGTGCAGCAGAGTGACCTCATTCGCTTGATTTGGGTGACAATCGGTGGCAGTGCTGCCTGCCAGGAACAACAGCGAGGATAATTTTTTGCTGTGACCTCACAATGGTGTGTAGCTTTAACATTTGCAGGGAAAGCAACTTTTACAGGACTATCACATGTTTCTCTCTCTTTTCTGGACTATCTTAAGTCTCTCTCTTTTGTGATAACTTATTGAATAATACTGTCCATACAGAGTGTATTATTTATTTATTTTTTTTTTACAAATTTGGCAGGCATGTAACTTGTAACCACTAGGTAGAATATGCGTGATAAATGACTGATGACAATATTGGAGGAATGAAAATATGTGCTAATGCGTACAAAAAATCTTTTAGTATGCATGTTGGAAAAGTGTAAACTGTGTCTACGTGCTGTCTGGACGTCCATGTTTGTTTTGAGCAGATTTAATAAAAGAGTGAACAAATACTGCATATTTTGTCTTCAAAACTTCCTGTCCTATGCACCATCCATGTATCCATAATATATTCCTTATTTTTTACTATCCTACATATTAAATGTTCTTGTTAAAATGGCATCTGCACTTTTCCTTACAATTGTAGAGAGGCCCCCAGACACCCTTAATCTTCCTGTATGTTGTGGATACTTGTTTGGAGGAAGAGGACTTGCAGGCCCTCAAGGAGTCGCTACAGATGTCCCTTAGTCTTCTGCCACCAGACGCTTTGGTTGGACTAATCACTTTTGGCAGAATGGTTCAAGTACATGAACTGAACTGTGATGGGATCTCCAAAAGCTATGTCTTCCGAGGGACTAAAGATCTCACTGCAAAGCAAATACAGGTAGGAGCTGTTGTTAAGCAGGTTCTAAATTTAAAGCCATTTGGTTACCCAGAAGGGATGAAGATGAAATAAGTGCTCCCCAGGGCCTTCTGATTATCACTGCCAACTACTCTGATACTTGTTGTCTTCTATGTACTTGGATTTCAGCTTATGTAGGCAATTCAAAGAACACTATTGTGCAGTGAGCTGTAACATTCAGCCAGGTTTCTCTTTTCATGAGTTTGTAATTGTCAGAACAATGAAACATAATTGTTGATCGGCTGCTGTGTTTTGGTACACTACTCTGTGACTTGTCACTTGTAAGTCCCTATTGCACACATTTGTTTATTATATGACATAATACAAAAAAGTAAATATGGTTGTAACATTTAGACCAGGGTAGATCAAAACCCACTTATATTAAACCAGTACAATTTGCATGTGGTATTGTCTAAGTGGTGTTTGATGCCACACGTCAGGTTCTTATAAATGTATGTGTTATAAGGAGTGGGACTGTTTTTTGTACTGAAATTAATAATATACCTGGACTTTAGGATATGCTGGGACTTTCAAAGCCAGCTGCTCCAGTACAGCAAGGAAGACCAATGCAACCCCAGGAACAGCCCTTCTTGTCCAGCAGGTAATTTCCCACCATTGTATACTTGTCCACCATTTTTTTGTTTTGTTTTTTTAAGGCAAAGGAGACATATAGACCCAGCATACTTTTTTTCATTTAATAACATCACCATTGAAATTGCAACACAAATGACAGTTGTCGTTTTTTTTTTTTTTTTTTTGACCATTCATTCTAAGCTTACTAAATGGTCCTAGCATAATGTGATTGTTGCCTGTCTGCTGTCCATATCTTTCCACAACTTCTTGGATTCCCTGCATACTTTGCAGCTTCTCCTCTGCTCATTCATTTGGTTTACCTTTCATTTCTGAGGACTGCATATCGCATGGTAGCTTGCTTCTTGCAAGCAGTGATTCCTGTACTGGTTGTGCCTCCTGAAAGTCCTTTGTAGTTCAGAAGTATGGCTTTCTGAAATGTGTGACAGTGCTGCATAGTGAATATGTGTCATAGAATTCAAGGAAGTAAATGTATGGGATTCTTAAAAAAACAACGTTTTCAGACTTTCAGAACATTTGATAAATAAGCTAGAAATAACTGAAATAGCACATAGAAAGGAATATACAATCTTAAATGTTATCATATATGGGTATTGCGATAACTAAAAAAGATCTTAAAAACCTGTATAGAAAAAGCATATTCAGGTATGTTGAATTTATATCGCCCAATGCCCGGGACATGTAGTTTCGGGTAGTTTTTTAGTTTTTGCTGTGAAGCTTTCAGGTGAAAGCTTTCGGACGCTGTGCTGCTGCCCAATTGCTTTCACACAGCCCACTACAGTGCCAGCCAAAAAATAGGGTAATTTATTGCATTTATTTATTTATTTTTTTTGTGCCCTAAAATTAACTTAAGTGTATTTTGTTTACTGATATTTTGCAGTAATATTGTGCAACATAAAAAAAATTGGAACTACCACTATTTTATTCTCTAGGGTCTCTGCTTTCAGAAAATATATATATAATGTTTGGGGGTTTTGTGTAATCTTCAGGCCTAAAATGATTTTTTAAAATTGTACAAAAGACGCTCTGGCAGTGAAAGGGATAAAGGATAAGCCCGACACATCCCTTTCTTGACGAGCACCCAATCGGTGCTCATTACACTGCAAGGTCTCTTTCCTCCCTGCTAGTCCCCGGATGCTGTGCTGGAGAGAGGCTGGGAGGGGAGGAGGAGAAAACACAATGTTAAAATGATTAAACGTTTAAGTTGCCATAAAGCCCGTTTACTTTAAAAACCCCAGACATTCCTAAAAGCACCTTAGATGTAAATACGCTTTTGGTTCAAATGATTGTTTTTCTTATCTGGACAAGTAGATTGTCATGAGGAACAAGTTGATTGGGTCCCCAATTTAGTCCCTGAACAAGTAGCTTGTCTAAAAATACTTTATTTTTCCGTGCTGTTGTTGTTTTTTTTGTTTTTCTTTTGCTGTCTGCAGAGGGCCTTATGGGGTTATGTAGCTATATCTTTAGTGAGTCCTCTGACTATATTTAAAACGGCAACATTATTTATTTCAGGTACTTATATAGTGCCGTCAATTTATGCAGCTCTTTACATATATAGTATACATTCACATCAGTCCCTAACCCTCAAGGGATGTACAATCTAAGGTCTCTAACTTACATTCATACATACACATACTAGGGACAATTTAGACAGGATCCAATTAACATACCAGCATGTTTTTGGAGTGTGGGAGGAAACCGGAGTACTTGGAGGAAACCTACGCAGGCACAGGGAGAACATCCAAACTCCAGGCAGGTGGTGACGTGGCTGGGATTCGAATTAACGACCCTAGTACTGCCAGGCGGAAGTGCTAACCATTTAGCCACTGTGCTGCCCATTATTTGACTGTTTAGGATGGTATTGTGTGCCCGATGGTGATTACCCTGTGGGGTGGGGCACTAAAGACTATACTGGCACCTGCTTGTTTGGGAGAAAGCAAAAATGATTAGGCATTGTCCAGCATTTCCCCCTGATAAGCCTCAGTTGGTGGCGCACTATGGTGTGTATACATATTAGAGCCGGTCAGTAGACTGTCAGCTTCTGTGGTTACCTGTTAGTTATGGATTATATGTATGAAAATTAAAGCGCATTTAAAAACCCATAACAAATATGTTCTTTTCAATCACTGTTCTAGATTTTTACAGCCCGTTCACAAAATTGACATGAACCTCACAGATCTGCTTGGGGAATTACAGCGTGATCCATGGCCCGTACCCCAGGGGAAAAGACCGCTGAGATCTACTGGTGTAGCTTTGTCTATTGCAGTTGGTTTGTTGGAGGTAACTGTTTGAGTGGAGGAGTTTAAATTATCAAATTACCTTTTTATTGATCATGACTCCTAAAGCAAAGCCAAAATAAAAGTCTTTTTAGTATTATCTAGCATGTACTATTTAATTAGCATTGGTATTTAGTGTACAATAGACGCTGTTACAGAAGGTTTAGTAGAGCCAGTTGTGTTGCATGTAGATTCAGTTACATTTTAATGCAGTGATATGCTTTGTATTGAAAGTGGTTTTTTTTTAGATGTGATATGTAATTTTATTGATCTCTTTAGGGAACCCTCCCAAACACTGGAGCTAGAATAATGCTGTTTACAGGAGGTCCACCAACCCAAGGACCAGGCATGGTGGTTGGAGACGAGCTGAAAAACACCAATTCGTTCCTGGCACGACATAGAGAAGGACAACGCTCGTTTTATGAAAAAGGCTATCAAGGCATGAAATGATTTATCTTTTGCAAATAATTGTGGGTGTGGGAAGTTATTATGCAGATGTACAATAGCTGCTCTTTTTGCTTTCACAAAAGGGACTTATAACAGTGTGGATCTTTGTTTTCTGAAGGGGCCTCAGATCAAGGGTCCATTGATCAAAAAAGAGACATCAGTTTGTTTGATGTCAATATCTGACCTGGCAACAAACCATGTGATTCACCCGAGTGAACCAGATTTCAGCATTGCTTGTAATCATCACAGGCCTTGGTTAAATACAGTTTTCATAAAAATCTTTTCAGAAAATTTATGTTGTTCCAGGGTAAAATACAGGATTCAGGAGGAAAATCTTGTACTATTTTTAGGTCATTGTGGGTGTACAGTCTGAAAATTGCATCGAAATGGAAATAATCGCTGGAACACTAGCAAAAGCTTTCAAATATTCGTCTTTTTTTTATAAAGTCATGCAAATTTGACAGCATTAACGTTATTGATGGTATGTCAGGGACTAGTTTTTTAAATTGCATCAGCCTACGCAAGAAAGCCACAGTCTCCTGTGAAACGAAGTGGAAAGTAAACTATCTTCTGCATGAGGGAAAATGCAGTTTATATGCAAGTCAACTTGTATAGTGAAAGTCTTCCACTAGACCAGGGGTGGGCAAACTTTTTGACTTGAGGGCCGCAATGGGTTCATATATTGGACCCGGGGGCCGGACCAAGAGTAGATGAATGATGTGTATGTGTCATCCATAGTAAGTATAGTAATATTCCCCCATAGTAAGCATAGTAATTCATCCCCCCTATAGTAATTCATCCCCCTATAGTAATTCATCCCCCATATTAAGTCCCCAAGTCCCCCCTGTGTCAATTCACTTACCTTTGCTCCGCGCGTTCCTCTCGCCGTGTTCCCGCGCCGTTCCGGTGTAGCATGAAAATCTGTCTCCTATGAGGATCTGTCCCCCTCGACGTATCTGCGCATGTGCCAGTTTTAGGCATTAGCAGCCGATCGGCGATCTCCGGCACATGCGCAGATACGTCGAGGGGGACAGATCCTCATAGGAGACAGATTTTCATGCTACACCGGTCTTCAGGGCGGACTGTGAGAGGAGCCTAGCGGGAGCCTAGCTCCGCGGGCCAGATTAAAAGGTCCGCCGGGCCGTAGTTTGCCCATTGCTGCACTAGACTGACCTTAGTAAAATCTAAAAGATCTGGATGTTAAAAAACCAAAGGGGGGGGGGGGGCAAATAACAGAAGTTCTTAGCATTTAGATAAACTTTGTTATTCTGCTTCAGACATCATTTTCAATTATTGTATGAAGCAGTCAAGGGCAGATTAGGTGTAAGAACACCTGCAGGCATGAGATCTGATCCAGCCTTATTTGGGTGCCTTGAGCTGGCCAACTATACACTGACAGAGGGAAAGAGACCTTAGGGCAGATTAGAGAAGATTGCTCTTCTAGCTGTTGTCACCTCTCTTTAAGGTGGCCCTTCTGTCCCCGTCTTTATCCAAAGTTTGGCTAATCTGAATTTATAGGTTTATGTAACCCTGTGCAGGCCTCTTGTCAGAACTGGCCCTGAGGTTGGACAGAGCGTTGACTGCCCCCTTTAATTTTATAATCAGCGTAAAACAAATGTGCTGTACTAGCAAGTTTGCAATGGCTACTTTTACTGTGATCAAAATTTACTTTTACTCTTTATTCACAAGTAACGCTTTTACTACTTTTTTTTTTTTTTCCCCTGCACAGCATTATGAAGGATTGGCAAACCGTTGCGCAACGAATGGTCACTGCATTGACATCTATGCCTGTGCCCTGGACCAGACTGGTCTTTTAGAGATGAAATGCTGTTCGAACCTCACAGGGTATGGTAGAAGTACAGTATGATAACATGATGTGCAGCTGTACATAATTCACAGGTTGGTGGTATTTACAGTTTTTTTGTCTCTGTATTTTTCAGAGGTGAGATTGTCATAGGAGATTCTTTCAATACATCCTTATTTAAACAAACATTCCAAAGAGTTTTTAGCAAAGATTTAAATGGAGAGTTCAAAATGGCCTTTGGTGCCAGCCTTGAAGTAAAGGTAAGAATCTATCCTGTAAAGGTTTGTCCTGCTTTTAACCTGTTGCGTATTTTTTCCAACTTTAATACTTAAGATAACTGTTATATTTGATAAAACATTATATTTCTTAGAAGTAAAAAAAAAGATTTTTTTAGCATCGATTTTGGTATTCTTAACTGGGTAGGATAAATTAAATCTGTCGGTACTTTGGGCATAATGTAACCAAAAATAATTTCACTTTGAATCACACAATAATATCCTGTGCTGCAGCGCACTGTGACCCAGTAAGGTCCTAATCCGAACAGCATATGTCTGCTATACCACTTTCCACAAACTTAGAGACCCCTGAACGTGGTTCTGCTGTGGATTGTATGGATGCAAATATGAGATTTAAAAGTGTCCTGGTATATTTACTTTGGGCTGCCACACAGTATGAATGCTAGTGTACACTGTACTTGTATCTGAAGAGTGGCTTAGGTTGACTGACAGTGAGCAGGTTTACAACTCCTGAGAAAAATAACAAACGCAAATCAATTTGTTTGCTTGCATCACATATTACATTACAAAATGCTAGTGTTTATATTTTTATATGTTTAAATAATATGGTACATGCAAATATTCAATTTTCCTAGTTTTCATTTGTTCCTTATAGACTTCAAGAGAATTGAAAATATCTGGTGCTATTGCCCCTGTGTTTCCCTAAATGTGAAGAGTCCATGCATTTCAGAAAATGTAAGTTGTAAGAAAACTAACTTTTGTAGCTGTTTTAGTTTTCAGTACAGTAAGAAGATTATTTGTTTTATATTGTAACACATTCTATCCACTAAAATCTATATCTTTTCTGATGAAACAGTCTTATTTCAGAGATTCTAGTTACTTCTGTATGAACAAATTTCACATTCTTTTAAGACTTTATAGCAATACAGGTGTACCTCTGTTTACAAATGTAATATGCTGTCCGGGACGTTTCGTATTGTGAAACATTTCATAAACCGAAATGCGGCTTCCCACAGGAATGCATTGAAAACCGATTAATTCGTTCTGGAGGTCAGAAAAAAAGTAAAAAAAAAAAGTTGCTGTCACTATAGGTCAGTGTTGGTTTTTAAAGTGATTACCGGCTTTTTGTTTTCTTCACTATAGCTCAGAGAATCAGCTGTCACTTTCCCCCCAGCTAAAAGAAAGAGAGAGAGTTTCCTTTTAGTTTGTTTCCTGAGATAAAAGAAACAAAGTATCTTTTAGCTCCGGTGAAAGTGACAGCTAATTCTGTGAGCTATAGTGAAGAAAAAGAAAAGCTGGCAATTACATTTAAAAATCGGCACCGACATACACTTTGTATTGCGAAAAAAATTTGTAAACCGAGGCATTATTTTCAATGGATTTTCATTCGTAAACCAAAAATTACGTGAACTGAGGCGTTCGTAAACCGAGGTACACCTGTATCTACAAATACTACAGCATTAGCAACGAGACTACTACAGTGCAATCTTCACAATAAGATCTTCCACCACTGTGCCTTAAAGTGGTTGTAAAGTCTGAAGGTTTTTTACCTTCTGTGTACAACAGTGCCCCCATCTCCCTCATTACTTACCTGAGCCCCATCGCGATCCATCGAAGTGCACAACAGCCTCAGTAATCCTGGGTCAGTGGCTCCTCATTGGCTGAGAAAGCAAGTGGGAGCCATTGGCTCCCTCTGCTATCAATCACCACTAGTCGGCCAATGAGGAGAGAGGGGGCGGAGCTAAGCCACGGCTCTGTGTGTGAATGGACACGAAGCAGCGGCTTGGGAACATCTGCTCGGGGTGCTCCCATAGCAAGCTGCTTGCTATGGGGGCACAAAACCGAAAAGAGCCAAGAGCGCCCACAAAGAGGAGGATCCAGGCTGCTCTCTGCAAAACCACTGCACACAGCAGGTAAGTATAACATGTTTTTTTATTTAAAAAAAAAAAAAAAAAATTAACCTTTTAGAATCGCTTTAAGTAAAGATTCCAACTGTGTAACTTTGTCACTCCACTCCACCAGCAATAGATGTTCTGCAGCATGAGTGAGACTTCTGTGAAAATCAAGACAGTAGGTGTAGGTGTGTTGCTTACATCTCTCTCCTTCCAGTAGTGCGATTATTGGGCCAGTAACCATCCCATCAGAAACCCTTGATTGATGTCTGAAAATGCCATCTATCACAGTAATTGATGGCATGGGCAATCTGGTTTTCTAGAGTGGATAACACCATACAGTTGCTTTTGTTGCCCACTTCTTATAAGGCTGGCACTGGGGGTGTCTATTTAGGAAATGTCCAACTGAGTAATAGTATTTGTATAATACAGTATTTATATAACTGCAACAGTTTGTGCAGTGCTTAGAAAATGAAGGGACACAGTACAGTTACAATACAAGAAGAATCAGAGGGCCCTGCGCGTACAATCTAAAAGGGGATGTTTATGCCACAGTCGACCTGCAGAACCATCATGTTGTGGTCAGTTCTTTTGACCTCAATCTTAAATCTATGGCAAGCCTAACATATGCCATATTTTATATAAGAGCTGCTTTTTTGTTTTAAATTTCCTTTAACATTATACACCAAGCACAATCCATTTATACCAATGCATGTACAGGATGACTCTTTTCTTAACCACGAGCAGTAATTCCGCAAACGTTTTCATGATAATATTTTGTCATGAGATAAACTCAAATATTTGGAAGAGACATCTTTAAGGAATAAATATGCTTTCTTTTATGTGTTCTAGGAATTGGGAGTTGGTGGAACATGCCAGTGGAAAATCTGTAGCCTAGATCCAACAACAACACTTGGAATTTATTTTGAAGTTGTAAATCAGGTATGCGTTTTATATGATGGTAAATACAAGAGGAGTGGGAACACCTCAAGGAATGCTAGTAGTCTCAAAACTTCTGGGAGGGCAAGAACAGAGCCAGGAAATTATTATTATACAGGATTTATATAGCGCCAACAGTTTGCTCAGCGCTTTACAATATAACGGGAGACAATACAGTTCAATACAAGAGGGATAGGAGGGTCCTGCTCCTTGGAGCTTACAATCGAAGAGATGCAGCATAGAGATGTCACTGAAGCTCCCAAGCGATTCAAAGAAAGCCAGAGGGTCAGTTAGCCTATCAGACTCCACTGTTGGGAAGCATGACCCTTTTTTTAAGCGGACCTGAAATCAAACGGTGAAGATTTGCTATGTTATAGGGAACATTTAGAAAAGCCAATTGTGCCTAAGTAGTGCTCTGAAAAGTTTACTTTTTTTGTTTTTTCATTTTCTTCTGAAAAATAGCAGAGCCTACAGCATCATAGCTGTATGTCTGCAGTGTGAGATCTAAAGCACTGCTACCTCTGATTACTGGTCTCAGGAGATTTGGTGTTATATTTATTTGTTAATACCTTACTGTTCATGGCTTTCCTCGTGTAAGCTATCACATGAGAAAGCAAAACACACAGACACAAGGCATGGTGTGTCAGTAGGGCGATCACAGGTAATACTGATGAATAGTTTTTTTGCCTTTTTTTTCAAGCACTTGGAACTGCATGTTTTGACTAATGTACATCGTGTGCTAAAGGGGAAAGTATTGTGCTCTTTTGACTTATTATTGCAGTGTTTAATTCAACTGTTGTAATTTAGTTTATTATTATACAGGATTTATATAGTGCCAACGGTTTGCTCAACGCTTTACATTATAGTGGGAGACAATACAGTTCAATACAAGAGGGATTAGAGGGCCCTGCTCCTTGGAGCTTACAATCTAGGAGTTTACATTGTTTAAGCTTGCTCTTCCAAACTTTTCTTCAACTGACAATGTTTCAGCACAAAAAGAGAAACCATGGGGATAACCAAGACAACACCCACTATCTGTTTGTCGTGTTGTTTTGGGTGTGTGTTTTTTTTTTTTTTTTTTTTTTTTTTTTACATTTGTAATAAAATGCTAAGATCTGCAGACTGGCTACAAGAGGGATCTATCGGTACTTTAGTGCAGTTATTCTGTTCCGTACTTCTAGGACAAGCTTTGTATGACATATGCTTTACATTTCTGTTTTGTATTTTTGAGTTGATAGTATATAAAGTGAAAAACATCACAACTTCATTTTCACTGATTCACTAATTTCTCAGCTTATCTGTAGTGTTTAAACTCTTAAGAGTCAAGATTGGGTTTGCAAGTAGATTGATGCTTTCTGATATATTTAAAAGAAATGGCAGCTCCCCTCTACCAAAGCGTCACTGATAATAAACGTTGCACTTCTAGGACATCCAGTGCCCATCAGCACTCCATCTGTATGTTTTCATTATAGATTGATAACCTTTATTAAGTTAAGTACTAAATGCAGTCATTTTGCCACCTGATGTACTTTAAAGCCAAGTTGAAGTAACAAGAATTGATATTGATTCAGACATTGTACTTGCAACTTCCATTTTTATAGTATTACCTCCACTCTGCTGGTAGAACAGTTGTGCAGTGTGTCTAAATATGTCTGTACAGTCCATTAGGCACCAGAGTTTGACTGTTCTACTCAGTGCAGCTACCAGACCTGGTCCAACTAACCCACCCTCTTCCTTCAGACTTCAAGGATACTTCTTTTGAGGGGTGTGACTTGCCCATATCTTCTGGCATACAGAACTGGAGTGGGAGGGTATAAATGGTTAAAAAAACAATGTATGCTAGTGGTACAGGACTATGAGGGGGGCTGGGGGGCAAGTGTGTTTTATATGGAATTAAAAAATCCAAAAATAAGTTCAGTCAAATTAACTGCCCTATCTGGGGCAGACTTTGTGCCTCATTAAATTTGTTGACCTGCATTGAAATGCCTAAATTGATATGCTTGATTTAGAACATTTATAGGGATTTGAGAATGATTTTGAATCTAACTTCTTTTTAGCACAATGCACCGATCCCTCAGGGGGGGAGAGGAGCTGTCCAGTTTGTCACACACAGTACCAGCATTCCAGCACACAGAAACGCATTAGAGTCACTACTATCGCCAGGAAGTAAGTGCTTTATTTTTTCCTGCTGTCTGTTTTACTGAGTGTACAAAACACACGGAATTGACATTTTTATGTTTCTGTCTATAGCTGGGCAGATGCTCAAACACAGCTCCAGCACATAGAGGCTGCCTTTGATCAAGAAGCTGCTGCAGTCTTAATGGCTCGCCTGGGAGTGTACAGAGCAGAAACAGAGGAAGGGCCTGATGTTCTCCGATGGTTGGACAGACAACTCATCAGACTTGTAAGTTCCATATTGTTTAAAGGATTACTCCACTTTCGTGGAAGAAAATATAGCAAAAAAAAAGTAATCTAGCATATTTAATTGCAACATAATTTCCTTTCTAATCGGCAGTTGCTGTAATTTTCTGTAAAAATTCAATGTAATCTGGCAACCTGGAGTCATCTTGTACATTAGTGTATGGAACACCCCCAAAATATCATGTCCTGCTTATGTGATTGGCTGGCTGATTTTCCCTGAAGTCTGCTCTAAGATGAAAGTCAACTTTTAGGCACCGCCTGCAATAGGAAATTCAGTTTTGGTGGGATATTGCCTAAGAGTTAAATACTTAACAGTTTAACACTAAACAGATGTAGACCCTGTGGCTTTCCTCATCAGAGCACTGGTAGTGTACCAGGAGGTTATAATGAACCAGACCTTCCTATTCAGCATTGTTTGCAAATGAGACGGTGAAACAAAAAGCTATTAAGAGCAGTAAAGATCTGAAGCAAAGTTTTTTTTTTTTTTTTTTTTTTTTTTTTTTTTTTTTGTTTTTTTTTTAAATCCCTGCATTGTAAATTGATTACCCAGAGGCTACTATTTTTTCCTCAGCAAAATTGTCCAATACATTCGGGAACAATGTAATAATGAATGTATTAATTTAAAGAAATGTCATTTGCCACTAATTTTAAAAAATTCTGTTAAAATCTGTTTCCAACTATGTAATGAATATGTGCCGAAGCAGAGTTGGGTAGACTGTAACGCTCACACACTGTGCATATGCATCTGTGGGGCTGAGGTTTCTGTGCTAAGAGAGAACTCATTGCATGTTCCTAGCACAGAGATAAAGCTGGTACACACAGCTTTTGGTCTCTTTTATGAACAGGAGCTGATGGAGTGGGGTCCTGCTCATGTGACCACTGTGATGGCCAATCCGAATGGTGACTGTCCCTTGTTTGATGTTAAGACCCACTTACGGGGCCGCTGGGAGGCGTTGGGAAGGGGTTAACATTTAAAGCATTGTAGATGCACAGAAATGGATTTTTAATTTTTACATCTGTGAATAAAAACATTATTTGCAATAGTGATCTGAAGAATATATTTAAAAAATATATATTTTTTTAAAATGTTCTATTCTTCAGATTTTTTTAACATATAAAAAAGTTATTTTAACATATTTTTACATATGTTTTTATAAGTGCATTCCAAAAATGTAGATTTTGTATTTTAAAGACATACAGTATATTTGAAATTATCTTTAAAAATATTTTTCATATTTTGTAATAAAAATGCATTTCAACATTGTGTGTGTGTGTGTGTGTGTGTGTGTGTGTGTGTGTGTGTGTGTGTGTGTGTACATACATACACACACACACTCTATAAATATATATATATATATATGTGTGTATGTGTATATATAGCGCCAAAATTGTAGCATTTCAAATATATGTCAATATATTTGGGAAGAACATTTTTAGAATATTTTTCTTCCATGTGGATATTTACTAAAGTAGTTATATTTCCATGGCTCTGTGTACTATTGGAGACCAGATATAGTGTATTTAGTAACGCTTTAAAAAGGGAAAAAAAAAATGTGTGTGTGTGTATGTGTGTGTGTGTATGTGTGTGTGTGTGTGTATATATATATATATATATATATATGTGTGTATATATATGTGTATATATATATATATATATATATACACACACACACACACCCATTCCACATTCTCTATGGTTCAACTTTTACTTAAGATAGCTCTTATTTTTCCCCAAATAATCCTGCTATATGCATTGTTTGTTTGTTTTTTTTTGGGGGGTTTTTTCTAGACATTTCCTAAGGCATATTTTCACAGCTGCAGCATGTGAAATTGAATTCATGCATTATTTATATATGTATACCTGTGTTCTTTTATAGTGCCAGAAATTTGGACAGTACAACAAGGATGACCCAACCTCCTTCAGACTGTCAGACTCCTTCTCTCTTTATCCACAAGTAAGAATAATTCAGCAGCTTTGTCTGTTTTTTTCTCTGATAATTCCATTCCAATTATATTAATTTGTCATCTTTTAAAATGACACAGTTCATGTTCCACTTGAGAAGATCACCCTTCCTGCAAGTGTTTAATAACAGCCCAGATGAATCCTCTTACTACAGACATCACTTTGCTAGACAAGACCTGACCCAGTCCCTTATCATGATCCAGCCTATCCTTTATTCTTATTCTTTTCATGGACCACCAGAGGTAAGAAAATAACCTTGGAAGATGATGTGATTTGAATATGTCTAGTATTTTAGATTCAAAATGTCTGTTGGGTCAGCTGGTTGTGGATTAACTGGACATTGCACGTTTCTGCACGAAGTACATCACCAGACCTCGAATACCTCACATTTCATACTATACATATTTACATCTGCTTTTTTTTTTTTTTTTTTTTTTTTTTCCAGCCTGTGCTGTTGGACAGCAGTAGTATTTTACCAGACCGGATTCTGCTTATGGATACCTTTTTCCAGATTGTTATCTACCTTGGAGAGGTAAGTGGGTACTGTGAAGTAACTAGATAGAGAACTACTATTTACAAGCCACCTGGAACTGATATTTCATTTTTAGTAGATACAGTATGTGTAAGAAATGGTCATGTCCTTGTGTGTTCAGACATGCTTGTTGTGTCTAAATCTTGCCACCATATGGCATATGGGAGTCCCAACCGATGGTTATAAGTAATAAATTCAATGTATGTGTTCATTTTTACATTTCTTATTCAATTACATCAGCTTGTGGGAAGTATTCTGATGTGAGAATTAAACTGACAACATAAAATGTTTGTGCCCTTTAAATATGTTGGTTATCGATCATTGATACTGATGTTTATGTTGTTCCTACATACAGCCATAAAAAACAAACTTTACACTCACTAATAGGTCACACGGTTTTAGTGTTTCTATAGTACATTCTATTACCATTTATTTTATCATGGCATTTCCACAGACAATTGCCCAGTGGCGTAAAGCTGGCTACCAGGACATGCCAGAGTATGAGAATTTCAAACACCTTCTGCAGGCACCACTAGATGACGCTCAAGAAATCTTACAAAGCAGATTTCCAATGCCTCGTTACATCAATACAGAGCACGGAGGGAGCCAGGTACGTTTCCGATTGTTTTGTTGGCATTGATTTGGAAAGAGCTTTTCTATAGTGTGCTAAAGATTTGCTACCTGAGAGTAAAAGGTTATGCAACACAGTCTGTTTTAGAATATCCATTAGTAGAATTGCCACATGCACAAAGATGGTTAATAATTAGAATCATTGCCTTCATGTTGGCTCCTTCTGACTGCAGTTTGGTTGTATGATAAAATCATGATACAACATGATACAATCATGTTGTCAGACTACAGATCCTTTTTAAAGCCAGTTTGAACTTTTTAAGAGAAAAAAAGTTTTCAGAGTGAAAAATTCTTACTTATTGTGAAACTACAAAACTTCACGTTAAAGTAATGTTACATGCTTATTTTCTAGGCAAGATTCCTTCTTTCTAAAGTGAATCCATCACAAACGCACAACAATCTGTACAACTGGGGACAGGTAAGCTACAGCATAGGTCACAAAAGTTTGTATGTTGTGAAAGAATAATGGTTTCTTCGTTATCATTTAACCAAATACCATTGTTGATGGCTGAAAACTGACGTGTATTAGGGATGCACCGAAATTCCAGTGGCCGAAAACAACCCTTTCGGACTAAATGGAAAAAAAAAAAAAAAAAAAAAGCAGGTGCCGAAAAAAACCTCGCTGCCGCCTGTCCACCGTCGCCTGCCCAGTAGTTCAGTCTTACCATCGATCCCGGTGTTGGGCATAGAGATGAGAAGGAAAGATGGCCGCCTCACATCTCTATGCCCTTGGAGGACTGGAGTGATGTCCCTTCCGGTACCGGCCATTTTTTTTTTGTTTACATTGGAGAGGAGAGATGTGGGGTCTTATTGAACCCATATTTCTCCATAAAGAGGTCCTGTCAATTATTTCTATCACAAGGGATGCATCCATTTCTTCTGATTAAGAATAAAAGTGATTACAATTTTTTTTTTTTGTTTGTTTTTAAAGGAACAGTACAAAAATTTAAAAAAACAAACATTAAATACATTTTTTTTCTTAAAGTGCCCCCGTAAATGGTGTTCAAACCACACATGTGAGGTATCGCCACGAACGTCAGCGCAAGAGCAATAATTCTCGCACTAGAACTCCTCTGTACATTTACACTGCTAACCTGTAGACATTTTTAAGTAACGCAGTTTCATGCCATTCCACGAGCGTGTGCGCAATTTTAAAGCGTGACATGTTTGGTATCTATTTACTCGCTGTAACATCCTCTTACATATTTTATAAAATAATTGGGGTTTATATTGTTTTTTTTTTTTTTTTTTTTTTAATCAAAGTATTTTTTTCCAAAAAATATATGTTCATTTTTAAAAACGGCGCATTTCGGTTTTCGCCAAGTGCATTTTTGAATTTTCGGTTTCGGCACCCAAATTTTCATTTCAGTGCACCACTAATGTGTATGCATATGGTGAGTATTTATATATGGTTTGTGTACATTTGCATTTCTTTCAGTGAAAGCAGTATTTAAAAAAAAAAATGGGTAGGACAAAAGGAGCCAGCCATTGCAATCACTTATGTGATTCTTGAATTTCTACAAATATTCTATATTCTTGAATTTTACACCTTCTCTAGATAAGTTGCAGTAGGAATGTAACTGGGTCATCTCACATACCCAGTTATTTTTTTCATACATATTTGGTTTTCTTTAGAGCTTAGTACTGACTGATCCTTACTGTCCTAACTGGAATGTAATACCTGGTTATGGAGAAGAGAACAGAATATAAGATAGACTATGCTTTACCAAATTAAACCATTAAGCAATTTGTAGACAAAACATGCATTTTTTCAGCAGTTATTGAGTTCAGCCTCCTATTTACCAATGTGGTGTGTAGTTGTTTTTTTTTGTTTTTTTTTTTTTCTTTTGTTTTAGTCCAAAGCCAGTAAAATTGTCCATACTTTGCAGCATTTCTTTCCCTTTTTTCATTTTCTTTAAAATAAGGAAGTGCAAGTGCCTAAAGGTGTCTACAGCAGCTTTTAGTCGTCCTGCTTTGCCTGAATGCCATTGTGCTTGGGCAAGACTTCTGGTAAAGGCAAAGATTAGCTGCTTTCTCCTACCCCTCTCTGCTATTGGCTCATCACTATGACAGACTGCCTTACTAGCCATTAGGAATATATGGAAGGCAGGAAGGAGTGAGTAAGCTTGGGCACTACAGGAATTGTAGACACTGTAAACATTAAAGCTCAGTATAGGCAGAACGTGGGCAATGAAAGCTGCTGCAGGTATCAGCAGCCAACTTGAATCTATGGCGAGTGTAGAGATACGTAGACAAAGTACACAAAAACATTGTTTCATGCAGTTTAACATTCTCTACCTACATATTTCTCACTAAAGTCTGAAGAGACTGATCATTGTATGTGATGTGCTATTTGTTTCTAGATGTTTCTATTTACAGACTTCTGTTCTTTTACGTACCCTAGGAATCTGGAGCACCAATCCTTACTGATGATGTCAGTCTACAAGTTTTTATGGATCACTTGAAAAAGTTAGCAGTTTCTACTGCGTCCTAATTTCCTTTTAAGACAGAAGTGTTTCAGCTACACAACTGTGCAATGAACCACCTTTTTTTAGAAGAAGAATAACATTCCCCTCCATAGTTCAGACAACTAATCAAAGTTTTACTTAAAGCTAAAAAGAAGTCAGTTTATCATTGTAGTGTTAGGTTTAATTTATTATTTGTGTCATTTACAACATGATTACAGTTTAAAATGTTAAAAATTATTTGTACATATTGATAATGCTTTGATAATCCTGTTTTCCATATTTTTGTTCCTCTGCATTAGCTGTACAACCAAATTCAGAGTAAATTCTGATGTGAACAACAACTTTGTGTGTTGTGTTTGCTTATTTTTTTTAAATAAGCTATTTGTATATGAGCACAGTTGTATCTTATTTCTGTTGCAGTACAGGTGAGTAACCAGACCTGATCCTTGTAGCTCTCCTACAACATGTCTCTGTGCACCATATTGGCACTATATCCACTGGAGCATTTTTCAGAGTAGAACTGGCTGGGGAGTGATTACTTTGATGCAGTTGGCCAGCTTAAACGTGTAACAAAACATTCCTTTTTTTTTTTTTTTTGGTTCACATTTTGCTAGAAAGTTAATATTACAAGTCAATCTTTTGAGTTTTAAGACCAGAAAGCAGTGGGGGGGGGCGTATAAAACAACGTACAGAGGGTTCATTCAGAATTTTTAGTGTTTAAAATGTGGTCACACACCTTTTTAGCACCCGATGAGTTATATACACTAGCCACTTTATTAGGTACACCTGTGCAATTGCTTGGTAACACAAATTGCTAATTAGCCAATCACATGGCAGCAACTCAATGCATTTAGGCATCTAGACTTGGTGTCGATGACTTGAGTATCAAAAAGGTGATTTAAGTGACTTTGAATGTGGCATGGTTGTTGGTGCCAGATGGGCTGGTCTGTGTATTTCAAAAACTGCTGATCTACTGGGATTTTTACGCACAACCATCCCTAGGGAAATTGAGACTCCTTAGACCAGGCAATGTTTTTCCAATCTTCGATTCAATTTTGGTGAGCCTGTGCGAATTGTAGCCTCTGTTGGCTGACAGGAGTGACACCTGGTGTTTTCTGCTGCTGCTGTATCACATTTACAGAGAGTAGTCTGAAAAAGAGAAAATATCCAGTGAGCGGCAGATGTGTGGACAAAAAAGCATTGTTGATGTCAGAGGAGAATGGGCAGACTAGTTTGAGATGATAGGCAACCGAAACTCAAATAATCACTTGTCACAACCAAGGTATGCAAAATACCATCTCTGAATGCACAACACATTGACCCTTGAAGCAGATGGGCTACAGCAGCAGAAGGCTATTGGGATTTGAACACAGGTATATCTTATCTTTGTTATCCTTGCAAGGGAGGTGGGCGCAATGTGCCAAGACCCTTACAAGGCCACTTAGAAGACACTGAGGCCCTTGCAAGGGAGGTGGTAAGACACCTTGTAAGAGCCTTGCAAAGGGACCTGAAGAACATCTGTGACACCCTTGCAAGAAATGTGGAGACATCATGCAGGACCTTTTTAACAGGAGCTGAAAACTGGATCTTTTCTACATTCTTAAAACGGACGTAAACCACAGACAAAAAAAAAAATCCCCTGCAAGGTAATGTCATAATGTGCCAGTATTCATCGCATACTAGCACATAATGTAAAACCTACCTTAACTTCCTTGGCGGTATGATTATTTCAGAATTTTGGTGCTGAAAGCGGTACCATTATTTTGCATGGAAATTTGGCGTTTTATATTGTAGGTCTGTAATTCTTAGGAATAACTCACTGAAATCTGTCCGAACAAGAGTCTAGTAAACATCCCGGATAGGATGAAACCTGAAATCATAAATTATAATTTAATAAATAATCATAAAAAATAATAAATGTAATTCAATACTATAATCTAAACCAAAAACACTGAAATTTGAAATATAGCGCCAAGTTCGCACATCACTGAGCAAAGTCGCAAAATCGTTTTCAGTGTCTGATGACGAATTTCCCCACGAATCATTATCACTCAATTCTACAAGTGGTTCTAATTTACTATCGCTGTTCTCTAGCTGGTCTAAAACCGCTTTTGATCTAAAGGGACGCTTTTTGGATGCCATGGACGTTTCTCAGTTTCCAGGTAGAAAGAACAGTAAAAATGAAGGCAGGGCACAGGACAAAGCAGTAGGGACAAAATGTATGTCAAATGGTTTGGTACAGTAATGTTTTACTATGTGATTTTTGTGAATGCCACTTTTTGTAATTTTCAAATTTCCTGCCGTTCCGTCCCCCGTACGTCCCGATGCTCGCAGAGGACGGAACCCAGATGACGGATGCCAGCATCCGCTGAATTACATTGCCGGGGACACTGCAGGAGGGACATCACAGGAGTGCAGGACAAGGTAAGTGACCAAGGGATCGCGGAGCAGCGCCGCATGGTAAGCCCGAGTGTAGCTCGGGGTTACTGCTTGTGGTACTGAAACTTTACCCCGAGCTACACTCAGGAATACCGCCAGGGAGGTTAAAACGAAGCCCTCCAGCGGCACGCTGTCACCGCTGTAAAGTCTTTCACCTTCACCCATCTTCCTTCGGGATTCGCGAGCTCCAGCATTCTGACAGGCTGGGCCATGGCACACAGCTCTGAAGGAATGGCATGGGTATGCCATTCCTTCAGAGAACATGCGCAGGATTAAATGAAGAGAGAATATCTCCTAAATGGTGCACGTTTAGGAGATATTAATTGTACCTACAGGTAAGCTTATCTTAAAGGTAAAATTAAAAGCGTTTACAACCACTTTAACTGTAAAATTCATTTCCTGGAGTACTTCACACAGAACAGTCTATTCATGACTATGTGGGTTCTATGCCACCTATAGCTGAATGGACACTGGTCGGCCAATCAGAGGAGGTCCCCCGCTATATAACCCCTCCTACACAGGAAGTACTTCAGTTTTTATAGCAGGCAATGAAATTCCAGAAAGAGGGGCTCTGTGTTCTTTGATGTACTCCAAGAAATTGATTTTACAGGTAAGTATGTAGAAAAAAAAAAATTATTATTATACAGTATTTATAAAGCGCCTATAGTTAGCTCAGCGCTGTACATTACAGAGGGGAACAGAACATGTGACAGAACAATACCAATACAATGCAAAACATGAGGGGATCGAGGGCCCTGCTCTTTCAAGCTTACAATCTAAAAAATACAGTTTTCTTTATTGTACATCAAGGGCCACAGAGCAGGCTATTAGTGACTATGTGGGATGTCCCAAAGCAATAAAGAAATATAAGGGGAGGGTGACACCATGATGGCCACCATCAATAATCCCTCAAGACATCCTCAGCTGCCCGTAAAACACTGGCCAAAGGTAGAATTCTCTGTGGCTCTAACATCCACCTTGTAGAACCTTGTGAATGGGTGAACCAAAGGCCATTTAGCGGCCTTGCAAACCTGAGCCACTGTCGCCTGATGGCGGATTGCCCAAGATGCCCCCCACACTCCTGGTAGAGAATATGCCTTCACCCGAAAGGGTGGGACCTAACCTTTCAAACCATAGGCTTGAATGGTCAATTGGCAGATCCAATATGAAATAGTTGCTTTGGATGCCACCTGCCCTTTCCTAGGCCCCTCCACCAGCACAAACTGAGCATCTGACCTGTGCCATCACCTTCAAGAAAATCAATAGAGTGCATTCCATATCCAAGATATGCAAATATCTTTCTCTTGCTGACTGAGGCCTAGGAAAGAATGAAGGCAGAACAATGTCCTAATTGAAATAAACTAGAAACCACCTTTGGTAAAAAAAAGTTGAGGTTGCAAAACCACCTTATGATGCACTATCCGAAACGGTTCTCTGCAAGAAAGAGCTGATAGCTCTGACACACTTCTTTCAGAAGTGATTGCCACTAGAAACAACACCTTATGCATCAACAGGACCAGTGGAATCTCTCCAATTGGTTCAAATGCCGTTTTTTGCTAAACTGCCAAAACAAAGATCAGGTCCCAAAGACACAAATGTAACCTAAAGGAAGGAGCAATACTCATTACTCCCTGTAAAAAAGTGCAAACCAAAGAGTGAGATGCAAAGGGCCTCTGGGGAAAAAACAGCATATGCTGAAACCTGGCTCTTAATGATACCAAACAGCCAATTTCTTCTGCAACCCTGTTGGAAAAAATGACAGAATCCTACCAATCACATACTTTTGTGGGTTCCATTTGCGAACTTCACACCAGAAAATGTAATAAATGTTCCTAGAGACTACCTTTCTAGCACCCAACATGATGGGGATGACAGAATCCGATACTCCTCTATCCTTTTAGGTTTCAATAGCCACACCGTCAAATTGAGCAATCATAAAGCTGGATGCAATATAGGATCTTGAGACAGCAGGTCTGGCTGACACAGCAGGGACCATGGCCTGTCTACTGTCATCATTACTATGTTTGCCTACCAGGCCCTTCTGGGCCAGGCCAGAACAATTATCTGCAGAATAGACTCTTCACAAATCTAAGAGATGTGGCAGCAGCTGAATTGGGGGGGAAAGGCATAAATCGGTGAAAACTGGTTCTAAGGAATCACTAAAGGCATCTACCCCTGTCACGTGAGGATCCCTTACCCTGGATACAAAACCAACCTTGTTGAACCTGGATGCCAATAGATCTGATCTGGGCAACCCCATCACTGGCAGCTTCTCTTGAAAACCTTGGGATGCAAAGCCCATTCCCCTGGAATCAACCATCAGCGACTGAGATAATCCGCCTGCCAATTTTATACCCCCGAAATGAACACCGCTGACAAACTTGGAACATATCTCTCTCCCAGGTCAGAATGTAATTCACCTCCTCCTGAGCACCTAGACTCCTGGTACTGCCCCAGTGGTCGATGAATGCCACTGCTGTGGTATTGTCAGACTGAATTCTCACAGGCCAACCCTGAAGCCTGGATGTCCATTACCTCAGAGCCAATCTCACTGTCCAAACTTCCAGGACATTGATGGGCAGAACCCTTTCTTGTGGAAGCCACGTTCCCTGAACTGTGGCCTCCTTCAGGAGGGCCCCCAACCTGAGAGGCTGGCATCGGTGGTTACCAATTTCCACATAACTGGCCGACAGGATCTCCTTATCTCCAAATTGTGAATCATCAACCGCCAATTCAGGCTTTGCAGTACCTCTGGAGACAGAGATATGCAGTAATCCAGGGCTGGAATCTTCTTGTTTCAAACAGAATGTACCTTTGCAGTGGGGTGGAGTGGAATTGGGCATAGGGAATAGCCTGGAATGAGTACACCATCTACCTCAGCAACTTCCTACAGAGGCGAACTGAAGGATACCTCTTGGCTTTTAAAATGCAAAGCTAGTAGACGAGGGGCCAGCAATTGAAGCCCCTGACACCTTAAAAGAAGGGAACTTGGATCTCCTTTTAACCCCCCCCCCCCCCTTCCCGGCGGTATTCCCGAGTGTAGCTTGGGGTAAAGTTTTAGTACCAAAAGCGGTAAACCCGAGCTACACTCGGGAATACTATGCAGCGTTGCTCAACGATTCCCTGCAGCACTTACCTTGTCCTTTGCTCCTGCGATGTCCCCCCTGCAGTGTCCCTGGCCATCTCCTCCAGCTGATGCCGGCATCCGTCTTCCGGTCCCTGCGAGCTCCAGGACGTACCCTGGCCTCCAGCGGGAAATTTGACCCCTACCTGGCAAATAAACAAAACCACAAATGCTGGAATATACAAAAAATTTACATTCACTCAGCCCAAAGGCTGAGACCCTTGTGCTGCACAGCACGGCGCCTTCTGATGGATGAAGGTAGAAAGTTTAGTAATTTACCTACTGGTGGGCACAACTAAGCTGCCACACCTTACCGGTTATTACCCTCAAAGAGCAGGAATCAGTGTATGGGTGTACGGTATGGGCTACCTACGGTGCAGCACAACGGCTTACAATCTTACACAAATCTACAGTATTCCCCCTCCCATAACTGGTCCTGTAGCACGTGCCTGAGCATTCCTTCTGAGCAAAACGCCAGTCTGGCTTGAGTTTGTAGGATTTTATCAGTTCTCCAATGTGAAATGTCACTTTAAGTTGTGGAGTCCTTCCAATGATCAGTAATAACACTTGTGGCCTGACACAAACAGAGACCCTAACTAACTAACTATAGGCCTGTCTCAGTCTTCTAGGCGCCAACAGTGAAATGAGGTGCGTACACAATTCTTACCAACCCAGGTCTGTATTGCAGCCGCTGATGACTCTGAACAGAACAAAAGTCTCTCCACTAATCATGCGATATTATCAGCAATGTATGTTGCTTTGCTCCTCTGTCCATCAGCTTCCTGGCAGCAAATCTTCCCCTCTTTGAACAGGATTAGCGTCTTGAAGACCATCAGCTTCACTCAACGGGATTTCTGATTACAGAGGGCAGTCTTCACCGCTGGATGGCCATGGATTCTCCGATCATTCAGCCTTCTCTCTCCAGTATGGCTTCTCTTTTCTTTTCCTGTTCACTCTCCTTGAAAAAACCCCACCCCTTATTGAATACAGAAATAGCTATGCAGTCTGAGGCTGTGTTAGAAACAGTGACAGCTTGTGGCTAAACTGCAGAATGTCAGTCAGAACGTTTTTAATTTACTTCAATCGGTGTTCAAACAATGAAAGCTGTTTCCTCATCTCACAGAAGCCCATGTCCAGGATCCGTCTGTGTGTGGTGGCTCTTGATGCACTGACTCCAGCCTCAGTTCACTCCTTGTGAAAGTCCCCAATACTTTTGAATGGCCTTTTCCTGACAATCCTCTCCAGGCTGTGGTCATCCCTGCTGCTTGTGCACCTTTTTCTTCCAAACTTTTCCCTTCCACATAACTTTCTATTAATATGCTTTGATACAGCACTTTGAGAACATCCAACTTCTTTTGCAATTACCTTTTGAGGCTTTCCCTCCTTATGGAGGGTGTCAATGATGGCTTTCTGCACAACTGTCAGGTCAGCAGTCTTTCCCATGATTGTGATTCCTACTGAACCAGACTGAGAGATCAGTTAAGGCTCAGGAACCCTTTGCATGTATTATGGCTTAATTAGCTGATTAGAGTGTGACACTTTGAGCCTAGAATATTGCACCTTTTCACAATATTCTAATTTTCTGAGATTGTGGATTTGGGGTTTTCATGAGCTGTAAGCCATAATCATTTCAATTATGACAAATCACGGCTTGAACTATCTTGCTTTGCATGTAATGAGTCTATCTCATATATTAATTTCACCATTGAAGTTGCATTACTGAAATAAATGAACTTTTGCACGATATTCTAATTTTTTGAGTTTCACCTGTATATATGTAAAGTGCGGCATAAATTGACAGTGTTATATAAGTACCTGTAATAAATAAATAAAAAGTAGAACTAAAGGCAAAACTTTTTTTTTTTCATTTTGGATTATATCCCTGTCAGGTTTATTCTGTGATCTCTGTGTGCCACTGGAGAGATTTCCCTTCACTTTCTGTCCCATAGCCAAAACAGGCAATGAGAGAGAATCCCTCCAGAGTGAGGGAATCCCCTGTTGTCACCAATTGGAAAATTTCCCCTCTATGCCTGTTCTGGTGACAACCCAAAATTTAGGATTTTTCTTATATTTTCATTTTCAGTGGTAATGGTAAAAAAAATAAACAATAAGAACAGCAATAAAAAACCTGACAGGTCTCTTAATCCCTCTTCCTAAAAAAAAGTTTCACCTTTAGTTATAGTGGGGCAAAAAAGTATTTAGTCAGCCACCAATTGTGCAAGTTCTCCCACTTAAAAAGATGAGAGAGGCCTGTAATTGGCATCATAGGTAGACCTCAACTATGACAGACAAAATGAGAAACAAAATCCAGACAATCACATTGGCTGATTTGGAAAGAATTTATTTGCAAATTATGGTGGAAAATAAGTATTTGGTCAATATCAAAAGTTCATCTCAATACTTTGTTATTATCCTTTGTTGGCAATGACAGAGGTCAAACGTTTCCTGTAAGTCTTCACAAGGTTGGCACACACTGTTGCTGGTATGTTGGCCCATTCCTCCATGCAGATCTCCTCTAGAGCAGTGATGTTTTGGAGCTGTCGCTGGGCAACACAGACTTTCAACTCACTCCAAAGGTTTTCTATGGGGTTGAGATCTGGAGACTGGCTAGGCCACTCCAGGACCTTGAAATGCTTCTTACGAAGCCACTCCTTCATTGCCTGGGCGGTATGTTTGGGATCATTGTCATGTTGGAAGACCCAGCCACGTTTCATCTTCAATGCCCTTGCTGATGGAAGGAGGTTTGCACTCAAAATCTTACGATACATGGCTCCATTCATTCTGTCCTGTACATGGATCAGTCGTCCTGGTCCCTTTGCGGAGAAACAGCCCCAAAGCATGATCTTGCCACCCCCATGCTTCACAGTAGGTATGGTGTTCTTTGGATGCAACTCAGCATTCTCTCTCCTCCAAACACACGAGTTGTGTTTCTACCAAACAGTTCTATTTTGGTTTCATCTGACCATATGACATTCTCCCAATCCTCTTCTGGATCATCCAAATGCTCTCTAGCAAACTTCAGACGGGCCCGGACATGTACTGGCTTAAGCAGGGGGACACGTCTGGCACTGCAGGATCTGAGTCCCTGGCGGCGTAGTGTGTTACTGATGGTAGCCTTTGTTACGTTGGTCCCAGCTCTCTGCAGGTTATTCACTAGGTCCCCCCGCGTGGTCCTGGGATTTTTGCTCACCGTTCTTGTGATCATTTTGACCCCACGGGGTGAGATCTTGCATAGAGCCCCAGATCGAGGGAGATTATCAGTGGTCATGTATGTCTTCCATTTTCTAATATTGCTCCCACAGTTGATTTGTTCACACCAAGCTGCTTGCCTATTGCAGATTCAGTCTTCCCAGCCTGGTGCAGGTCTACAATTTTGTTTCTGGTGTCCTTCGACAGCTCTTTGGTCTTCACCATAGTGGAGTTTGGAGTGTGACTGTTTTGAGGTTGTGGACAGGTGTCTTTTATACTGATAACAAGTTCAAACAGGTGCCATTGATAACAGGTAATGAGTGCAGGACAGAGGAGCCTCTTAAAGAAGAAGGTACAGGTCTGTGAGAGCCAGAAATCTTGCTTGTTTGTAGGTGACTAAATACTTATTTTTCACCATAATTTGCAAATAAATTCTTCAAATCAGCCAATGTGATTGTCTGGATTTTTTCTCTCATTTTGTCTCTCATAGTTGAGGTCTACCTATGATGCCAATTACAGGCTTCTCTCATCTTTTTAAGTGGGAGAACTTGCACAATTGGTGGCTGACTAAATACTTTTTTGCCCCACTGTATATTTGTAGTGCTGCCCCCTCAGGGGCCACTGGTAATAGCTGGTTCTTCCCAAATAGTATAGAGGCTGCCCACCAGTCCATCCACATCGGCTCCAATAACCCAGTCTAGGGGATATTTTTTTGAAATGCTAGAAGAACTTATACAGCTGAGTGTTAGGGCATGGGACTCTCCAAAACACTTGCATAGCAAGGAGGAGGAAACGTTTCTCTAGGCTCACACTCAGGATTCTGCTGAAGATGGGGAATGGCTGGTACTCTGAGACTCAGGCTTGGGAACTAGTCTGTAGATGTGTCACCATAACAAGCGGCTTGTTATATCACAGAGCAGGCAAGAATAAAAATGTAGGCTTTACAACCACTTTAACCACTTGCCTACCAGGCACTTATACCCCCTTCCTGTCCAGGCCAATTTTCAGCTTTCAGCGCTGTCACACTTTGAATGACAATTGCGCGGTCATGCAACATTGTACCCATATGAAATTTTTATCATTTTTTTTCCACACAAATTTAGCTGTCCTTTGGTGGTATTTACTCGCCGCTAGGGGTTTTATTTTTTGCGCTATAAACAAATAAAGAGAAGAAAATAAAAGTTTTTCTTTGTTTCTATTATAAAATTTTGCAAACAGGTAATTTTTCTCCTTCCCTGATGTGCGTTGATGAGACTGCACTGATAAGGCGGCACAAATAGGCAGCACTGATGATGCTGCACTGATATGCAACAATGATGGGCACTGATAGGTGGCACTGACTGACAGCAATGACTGGCGGCACTACTGGGCAGCACTGATGGGTGGCCCTGCTGGGCATTGATGGGCTTTTTATGGGTGGCACTACTGGGCACTTATGGGGTTTCACTGCTGGGTGGCACTGATGGGCAGCGATCATCAGTGCCCAGATGATCAGTGCCGATCCGTTCTCTGACAATTGCTGGTTATTGGCAGTACTTTCCTCATGCTGTGACAGTGTGAGGAAAGTGCAGTCTGCGTGGGTTTCCTCCCACACTCCAAAGACATGCTGGTAGGTAATTGGCTTGTGTCTAAATTGGCCCTAGTATGTGTATGTATGAATGTGAGCTAGAGACCTTCGATTGTACACCCCTTGAGGGTTACGGACTGATGTTAATATACAATATACTGTATATGTGTAAACTCCTACGTAAATTGATGGCACTATATATAGTAAGTACCTGTAATAAATATAAATATAGGTGTGTTGAAGATCTATTTAAGTAATATCTTCTTATCTCTCCTTACATATTTTCTTGGAAAATATGATAATACTGAAGCCAGAGCTGGACTGACTATTGACCTGAATCACCAGCAAAACCTTTTGTTAGATTTGAATGGGGGGAAAAGGTTAACACCTCTTTCAGGCTCTAATTGCTGTAGGGGGGAGATTTCTTCTTTTCCTGTCTTGATAAGAATATCTCTCAGTAGGACCAATACCACCAATTTGCACATGAAAGAGGTTCTAATGCTTCCAAGCTCTCCCCATTGTGTCTTTCCCCCTATGCTAGCATTGTGTCCACAGTAGCATTTGCGTAGGCAGAGCAGAGTAGGACTGGCCATAGAGGGATTACTTTGACGTAGTTGGCCAGCTTAAGCATGTATTGCAATGTGTGTGAACAAAATATCCCTATTTATTGCATAGTTTGCTTGAAAGGGTATATACCAGTGGCAGAGGGTCCTCAGAGTTTCTAGTGTTAATATGTGGTTACACCCCTTTAGCACCTGATGGTTAAATGCATGTACTAGCTTTTGGGATTTGAGCACAGGAATCTCTTGTTTGTGGTAAAAGGCCAATCACAGTGGCCTTTTACCATGTGATCAGCTGTGTCCAATGACATAGCAGATCACCGGTAAATGCAGTTGCCGGCTATTGGCTGCACTTTCCTCATGCTGTCACAGCATGAGGAAAGTACTGCTGATAACTGGCAATTGTCAGAGGACGGATCAAAACTGATCATGAGGGCACCGATGATCAGTGCCACCCAGCAGTGCGACCCATCTGTGCCCATCAGTGCCACCTATCAGTGCCCATCATTGTATATCAGTGCTGCCTATCCGTGCCACCTCATCAGTGCAGCCTCATCAACGCATATCAGTGAAGAAGAAAAATTGCATGTTTGCAAAATTTTATAATAGAAACACAGAAAAACTTTTTTCAAATTTTTGCTCTTTTTTTGTTTATAGCGTAAAAAAATAAAACAGCTGGTGGTGATTAAATACCACCAAAAGAAAACTCTATTTGTGTGAAAAAAACTGATAAAAATTTCATATGGGTACAGTGTTGCATGACAGCGCAATTGTCAAAAGTGCGACAGCGCTGAAAGCTGAAAATTGGCCTGGGCAGAAAGGGGGTATAAGTGCCCAGTAGGCAAGTGAAAATCAGCACTACTATTAGGATCTGTGTATAACATTTCCAAACAGGAGTTGAAGGGCACTTTAAACGTTTAGAGAAAGTTGCACAAAGCTTGCTGAAAGCTTCATAAAAGCTGGCTGTTCACACTGCTCTTATACAAGCTGAAGCCCATATGATACAGACCTATTGCCAAACTCCCAAATAGTCTTTTCTATGTTCCAGTTGTTATCCGAATCAATGCCTTAGGGCAGTATTTTTATGGAGGAGAGTTCAAAACTAATCTTAGAAAGTCGTATTTTTCCCGAAAGAGTAGTTGATGCTTGGAACAGACTTGGAAGTGGATTCAAACATTCTTGGGACAAACCTAGATCTATACTCACAAAACAGTGAGTATAGACACAGTTAACAAAAAACAGACAAAACAGTTAACAAAAAAATTCAAAAACGTATAAATTATAAAGAAAAAAAAAGCAGACTTGATAGACCATCCTTGGCCTTTTTTCTGCCTTCACTTTTCTATGTTACTAGGTTTACAATCGCTTTAGGTGCAATATAGTAGAGTATAGCAACTAACTCTCACTAAACACTGACTGACAAATAACTGCTGGGAACCCAGCCTTTTACAATGAAGGGGATGGCCCATAGCAAAGTCTCCATTATTGCCCATTGTAATGCTACTGACCATCGGTGAAAGCTGCATTATGGCTACAAAGAATTTTGGTCTGCTGAATCCCTGCATTAATTCACCACAGACCTTCAACATGCAGAATATGCCTCAAATTCATGGTAGTGGCGAACCCAAACCTCATCCCTAATAGTGGCCTGTGGTCTTTATGACTATGAAAATAGCAAACAAAATAAAACTTCTTCTAAGGTTGTAAACTGATAAAGGCATTCAAGCATTCTTTTAGCTGGGGAGCCTTATGTCACACTGACTTTTAGTCATCTTCATCTGCCAAGAAATCCACATGGCTGTGTCAAATAAAATCTATGAAAGGTATACACCTAATGCGTCAGAGGGTGTGGCCAGAACGGCGACTGAGGCCATTCCTCAACATTGGACTCCTGGGATCAGTTGAGCAGCGTCTATCCCTTCAACTTTATTTGCTGTTTTATCTTCTTGGGGCCAAAAGCACCGGTTCTGCCTGTGTGTCGAATTTTCATAGATGTGAATAAGACCAAACTCCCAGATTTTCCAGTTTTCTGTTGAAATGTATGAGGACTTACGCAAGGCCATAGATGATGCGATTTAATTCCCTGGAACCATTGGTTGCAGGAAAGAAAATTGCTTGAAAGTCAATGTTGATGAGGGAATCCCTCTCACAGAACTATTATGTTTTCCTGGCAGGGGGAGCCATCCCTGCCGGGACAACACAGTGCTTATTCCTATAGCCAATGACCATAATCGCATGTCAAATCCGACATGCTGGTTTTACCTAATACACCAATTGAATTGAATACAATCAGCCTGCTCATAGATGGTTTGAACCTCGGGCCAATCACTGCTGAACCTGCTGAGATTCAAACCATCTATGGCCGGCTTTACTGTGTAAGCACAGGCAGCACTGAAGAGGATTAAGGACTTAACCTCCCTAGCGGTATGATTATGTCAGTATTTCTGTGCTAAAAGCGGTACATTGTTTTCAATGGAAATATGTTGTTTTTTTATTGTAGGCCTGTAATTCTTAAGAATAACTCACTGAAATCTGTTTAAACAAGAGTCTAGTAGACATTCTTAGTGCAATAAAGTTTAATAAATTAAATTATAATATAATAAAAAATAATAATATAATAATAAATTAAATAATGTAATCAAATCAAACACATGGAACTCTGTCCAAACAATATTATATAGACACTGCATTTTGTTTTAGAAAACATCACGGGTGTGGTCAGTTTTGAAACATGGGACTGCACAAAGTCCGACATCACAATCAGGACAGTGGAACCTCGTTTTCTTGCAGATTTTTTTGCCACTCTCATCTCACCGAGAGCAACATACCACGCACATCCGTGTAGGTGCTGCCTTTTTTTGGGTTGGTGGGATGTGGTCCATAAAATGATGTCCAGTCAGACGTTCTGGGTTGACAACTCCCACAGCACGTCGTCCAGATCTACGCACAGACACTTATGGTGTTTGATGCTTGAGGAAAATCGATTCCGCCACTTTCCATATAACGTCCGCATGCACCACAGTGTCCTTGTTTTTGCGGAACAGAATATAGGCATTCCACAAACACTGTTCCAGAAGATGCCGGAAAATCTTTTTATAGTATTTCCTCTGCTGCTTTCTCATCGCCGGATAGAAAGTCATAGCTTGGTCAGCTCTATCGACACCTCCCATGGTGCTGTTGTAGTCAATGACAACCTGTGGCTTCTGGATGTTTTTCCCACCTTTTATTTGAACCATCACTGTGGAGGCATTGTGAACGGTACTCATTAGGCACACATCCTTCTTGTCCCGCCATCTCAGTGCCATCATTTTGCCTTTCTGCCAGGCAACTAATTCTCCCGACTTCAGTTTGTTTTTTGCAAACATGGATAGCAGGTTGCGCCGGTTAGCCCGAACGGTTCCATAGGCATCCGTTTTGTGCTGAAGAAGAACCTCGTAAAGTTCTGGAGAGGTGTAAAAATTGTCTGTCGTTACACAGTAGCCTTGGTTTAGCAGAGGCTCAATCAGTGACAGGACGGAAGATATTGCCATTCCGTATTTGCTGTACTTGGGATCACTTTTTGTGCCTTTGCCGGTGTATATGACTGTTCCAGATGTAGCCAGTAGAGGATTCACACAGCAGGTAGGATTTGATGCCAAATCGTGCTCTCTTGGACATGATGTACTGTATCCAGCTGAGCCTTCCTTTGTAGGCCATTAGACTTTCGTCTATGCTGATGTCTCTCTCTGGCACATAGCTCTGCTGGCTATTTCTTACAATTATTTGGGAGACTTCCCAAATTTGTTTTAGCTTGGGAGCTGGATGAGTGGATTTATCAAAATCCTCATCCTCATTATTTGCAAAGTGAAAAATTTCATAATGAGGGAAAACCTGTACTCTGATATGAAGGTGCCAAAGAACGGCGTGGAGAGCATTTTGTTTGTGGTTCAGTAACTAACTAGCTACATTCCAATGTACATATAGCTACAGAGCACAACCTGTTATCCAAACATGACAGACAAGAAGACAGCAAACCAGCCTATTCCTATGGCAAACAGGTCAATGGATATATTACAGCCTGTCCTTCATATTTGAGTGATTATCTCATTATAAAGGTTATTTAACCCTTTAACA